GCTCTGAACGCTCTTGGAAACAATGAACAGTACATATGTATAAATTAAAAGATGTATGTGCAGTGAAAAAAGAGATCTATCAAGCCATGAACGACCTGAAAGAGACCTATTACTAAATGAAAGAAGCCAGCCTGAAAAGTGTACAAACTGTACGATTCCAACCAAATGACATTCTGGAAAAGGCACAGCTTCAGAAACAATAAAAAGATCGTGGTTTCCAGGGGTTTGGGGAGAGGGAGGGAGGGAGGGATGAACAGATGGAGCACAAGGGATTTTTAAGGCAATGAAAGTATTCTGTATGGTACCGTAGTGGTGGCTACACGTCATTATGCATTTGTCAAAGCCCATAGAATGTACAACAGCAAGAGTGAACCCTCGGTGTAAACTATGGACTTCGGCTGGTGATAATGTGCCCATGTTGGCTCAGCGATCGAACCAGACATGCCACCCTGACGAGGGACGTCGAGGGGAGGGGAGGATGTATGTGCGGGTGGGGAGGGCTGTGTGCGAACTCTCTGTATTTGCTGCTCAGTTCTGCTGTAAACCTGAAAACTGCTCTAAAAGAATAAAGTCTATTAAATAAATAAACTTAATTACCACCTCCCCTAAAAAAAAGCTTTAAAAAAGAATTAAAATTTTTTAAAAGATGAGGAAACTGTAGGTTAGCATCTTCCCACATAGTTGGTAGAGGGGATTCTCACCGGGGCCCCACCTGAAACAGGGTCTCAAAGACTCCAGATCTTTGCTAGGGAGAATCGAATTCGAAAAAAATGGTTCTTTCAAAGCTCCAGCCTCCTCCAGCAGGTGGAGACCTGGGCGGAGACCGTCACCCCAGTTCACCTGTGCGGAGGGCGGCCCGTTGGCGTTCTGCCGGGTCCCCTCGCGTCTCACCTTTCTGTGCACACCAGCCCGGGCTCCGCATGCCGACACCTGTGCCCCTCCCCTCTGGCTGCTCACTGTGCGCTCGGGCCACCCCAGGCCAGAGGTTCCAGGGAACTGGTGCACCTAAGAGCTGTCCTGCAGCCAGTGACTGGCCAGGGCTGCGGGATAAACGCCGGCTCCCTCTCCCTGCAGGTCGATGGATGCTGCGTGCACGTGGGCGCGCGTTTTCCACAGCGTCTCCATGATATTAAACCCCAAGGGTTTAGCCTGAGCCCTTGGGCGGGACCTTGCTATCCCTGCTGGACGTGCGTGAGGACGGCTGTGACCTAGGGAACTGCCGGCAGCCGTCCGGAGAACACAGGAGGGGGTCGCGTGGGGACACGAGCCGGGCGACGCTGTCTGCAGTCCTGACTCGAGCTGTCGGGTGGGGGATGCTGACTCCTCGCCACCCAGGTGACACCCTTGGGGGGGGGCCCTGTGACGCGGCGTTCCTGGTCCCAGTCCTCCATCCTCCCTCTGGAGGGAGTCCTCTCTCGGGTTTGCTGGGGAGAATGAACGGGGATTGCAGCGTACGTCCTCCTCCTTCCCGCAGGGGCCCACCTTGCCCTGGGCCCTCTGGGCGAGAAGTCCCTCTGGGAAGACACCTGCCCTGGCCCAGCATGGCTGATCCGGGGGTGTGGGTCTAATTGCAGAGTTTGGGCTCAGAAAGTGCACGTGATGGCAAAAATGAGGCACAGCTCCCAGCCTGGCCCTTGTCGGTGACGACGCCCTGCTCGTCTCAGCTACTCGTGTCACGTCCCCTCGTTCCACACGTCAGGCAAAGGAGGTCCTTTGGGCCCCTCAGAGGTGCCCCACAGGTGTCCGCGCCAGCACCCTCCGCTGCTCACTCAGGTAATCGGAGCGTCTTCCCTCCTCCTTCTGCTTTTTCTCATCTTCTCCTTCTTATTTTGAAATCTAGAGAATCCCACTCGATATGAGAACAAGGCTGAAATTCTGCTGTCATTCAGGAACGAGCCATCAGACCAAGAATTACACCTGCCACCCCTCTTGGACCCCAAAGCTGCGCTAGCGGAAGAACTCAGACCGTGTCATCACGAGCTGAAGCATTTGGGGGGCGGGAGTGGAATCACAGATGTTCCGAGCGCTAGGAGAGGAGGCTGACCAGCATTTATTTTCCACACGAGCGCTGCGGTCGACGTCAGGTACTGGCACACACAGTGACTGCTGGATGTGCGCTGGGACCTCTAGCCGTCGGTGCAGTTTTTGGTCAGAATTTTATACTTTTCAAACCAGGGCAAAACAGACACTGAGAAGAAGCAATCGATTTTCTAAAAAACAAAACAAAATGTGAAATAGGTCTACCTGCAGGCTGAGAACTTTACAGGGGAAAGAAGCCGGAAACACCAGTGCCCTGCCTGCAGCCCCCCGTGGGGCCATCATTGTTTTGATTTCAGTGACTCGATAGCGTCGCTGCTTAACTCATCCCCCAAACGTCCTTCTGCTGCGGCTGGAAGTGGGGACTGGAAGCAAAGTGTCCCCCGCCCACACCCACCATGCGGCCACGGCCGCTTCTCCCCTTTTCCACCCCAGGTGCTCCCCGCACACTTCCCGGGCGGGGCCCTCCTCCCCTCCTGGCCCCACTTCCGCCCGGTCCACCATCTTCCCTCTCCTCCTCCCGCCCTCCCATCCTCCCAGCCTCACGTCCCCTTCCTCCCCCGCCCAGTTCCCTCCGAGGCCCCCTCCTCCCCGCCTCCCTCGCCCCCACAAAGGAGGGTCACGCAACATATTTTGCACGTTGTTGTCACTTCTCAGCGCGACTTCACCTTCTTTCTCTTGGTTGGAAAGCCCGGGGCTGCGGTGAAGCGGGGTCCAGGGGAGGAAGAAGCGCTTACAGTTCCCCTAAACAGAGGTCTGAGTGCTAACTCTGGCTTGATCTCTCACACCTATCAGCTTCTCTCATTATACTCCACTGTTACCGTCATGATCTCCAGGGAAGAACTAGGAAAGTCTGACTTGCTAGATTTTGGAGAATTCTCCACGTAGGTGGAGCTCACAGATGGACATGTGTCTGTGCTGAGAACACGGAGACCTTTACAACCAGGGTGACCGTGGAATTTATGAGACAAACCAGGACACAGTGTAAGCAGGTGGGAACGCTGTTAACAATGATGCTAAGAAGCTGTACACAAACCAGGACGCTCCGAACAGACATGCCCCTGACTGCCCTCTGTTAGCTCATCTGGGTAAAGAGAGGGCTTTGCAGGGCTGCTGGGACTTGAGACCTTCAAGGCCCCAAGACCGTGGGCCCGCCAGACCATGCTGTCCCAGATGGCCGGGGTCCAGCCGGCCGCCCCAGATGTGGACACACTGGGTAGGGGCGGTGGCCCCCCGAGCGGGTCACGGGCCTGCGGATTTGTCCCCTCCCTCCCCCGCCCCAACACCCTTGAAATGTCTCTGAGCCCGCTTCCCCATCCCTCCTCCTCGTCACTGGATGGAAGGGGCAGAGGCCGCAGCCCAGCCTCTGTGAGACTGTCAGGCTGACGTCCAGATTTTTAGTGGAAGCTCCGGCGAGGTCCCCCAGCTGCTAAATTGGTAGGACAATCATTACTTCCTTCGACCTCAGCGTGTCCCCCCGCAGCTCAGTGACCTGGGCTCCCCCCTCCAGACCCCTCAACTGCCCCGAAATCCTTCCAGCCGTAAAGGCACAGAGCCCGCCGGGCAGGGTCCTGGTCCCTCTCTCCATCACTTCTCCGCCTCGAGAAAGGAGGTGCGAGGTGTGTGTTCTTCTCAAGCAAGCTGGGTACCTCCCCAGTACTCCCACCCCCCTCACCCCAAGCCACAGGGGGAGCCACGCAGAGGGGCGTGGCCCGCACCTTGTAGAGCTCCCCGTCCTGAAAGCTGCAGTTGTTGGCCTCTGACTTGAAGCAGACGGTCCTGCGCATCTCAGCGTTGATGTGGTACTCCATGTGGTCGGTCAGCTGCGGGGGCAAGGGGCAAGGAGATGAAGGGCCACCAGCCCTTCCCTGTAGGGCCGCCCTGGACGGACTGGGGCTCCTCCCTCCTCTTCCTGTCTGCCGCCTGTGCTGCCCTGTCCTCCGGGGAGAGCTCCCCAGAAGTCACCGCTCGGGCAAAGTCACCCTGGGGTGGCCTGCGTGATGCCCACTGCTGGCCCACGGCAGGGAGCAGGAGCCCCACCAGCGTGGAAACAGCCTGAGCTGGGCATATGCGGCGCAGCCGGGCGCCCGGAAAACAGGCACCGGGTGGCGGCGGGCAGCTGGGGTCCTCAGCTGTGCTGGGCCGGCCCTGGTCCTGCGCATCCCCTGCAACCGCTCCAGGGAATTTCTGTTTCTCTTAAAACGCCCGCTTCTGACTAAACGGGGCCAAGCTGACCGGCGCAGCCCCAGCCCGCGGCGCCCTGGCAGGGCTGGTGAGGGGAGGGGACACTGACCTTCTGCACGACCTTGGGGACCCGCACGACCCGGAAGTTGTACTTGTCCTCACTCTTCTTGTTGAACTCCTTGGTCACGTAGTCCAGGGTGGTCACCACGACGGACGCCGATGCAGGCACCTCCCGGACACTGATGAAGGTCTTCCTTCTTGTTTGGTAGGTGAGGGCCACCAGAGCCCCCACGACGGCCAGCAGCAGTCGGGGGCCCTGCGGGGCTCTGGTCATTGTCGCTGGGCGGGGGGCCTCTTCCTCGGGCTGCCAGAGCTGGTCAGCGTGCTGGCCGCTCTGCTCGGCCGGATTTAAGCCAGCCCGGGGCGGGGGGACACCTACGCTCCCCTCCCCAGTCCAGATCTGCATTCACGCCTGTGGGGAAGGCGGGCAGATGGCAGCTGCAGGCTCAGCGCACCCACCACCTGCTGCATCCCTCGCAGCTGTTGCACACGCACGCACCCCGCCCCTCTCGGCTGCACACCCTCGCCCCTGCCCAGTATTTCTGGGTGGGAGCCAGGCCGGGGCTTCTGTCCACAGAGCTCGGCTCAGCCAGGGCCGTGGGAGGCCTGGCGCACAGGAAGGGACCGGGACGCGGGGGCGCGGGGGCACAGGCAGAGGAGCGAGACGAGCTGGACTCCACCCCCTCCTGTGCCCCTGATCTTCCCGGGCTGTCCTTCCGATCGTGCCCTCCCCCACCTCCCTGGCTGGCGGGACACAAGCTCGCTCACACGCTCAGACCTGGGCATCGTCTGCCTGCCCACGTGGGAGGTGCCTGCCCTGCCCCGGAGAGCTGTGCTCCCCAGAAAAGGGAGGGTGGGCCCCGAATGGGAAGCTGCGGGTGTAGTCGTGACGCTCTGTGTTCACGTCCCACCGTCCCTGAGGCTGGACCCTCCGTGGCACTGGGACAATGCTCAGCCTCAGTCCAGAATCCAGGTGCCGGTCTCTTCAGATGCTTGGAGCTTAGACGGTGTCTTGAGCTGCCCTTCTCCCTCCTGGGGCCGCGGGTGGGCAGCGGGGCAGACAGCTTCTCCTAGCTTCTCCTTCTGTCTCCTGTCCGTCCTCTTCTGCCTCCCCATCTCACCACATGCCTCCTAGGCCCCCCCGGAGCCAGAAGAGGAGCCAGAAGAGGAAGAAGGGGAGGGACGGGGAGCTCTGGCCGCAGGGCCCCGGGCCCTGTGAAGTCTGGAGCCGACTGCAGTGTGGGTCCCTCCCCGGCTCCCCCCACCACCGGCCCCTGCGGGAGCCTGCCCCCCCTGGCAGCTCGCTGGCGTCTTGCGGCCGTGGGAATGAGTTACCACCCAGGCTGGCTTCAAACAGAACATGTTTTGGGGGTTTTTTGTTTGTTTGGTTTTGATTGTTTTCTTTTTTTTAAGAATTGAGTTATAGTCACTTTTCAGCGTTGTGTCAGTTTCTGGTGCGCAGCACAGTGCCTCGGTCGCACACGCACATACATGTATTCATCTTCACACTTGTTTTCCCCGTGAGCGACTGCAAGTGTTGAATATAGTTCCCTGTGCTGCACAGTATAAACTTGTGTATCTGTTTCATACATACCAGTCAGTATCTGCAAATCTCAGACTCCCAGTGTATCCCTTCCCACCCACCTCCTCCCCGCTGGCAGCCACAAGTCTGTGTTCTATGTCTGTGAGTCTGTTTCTGTTTTATATATACGTTTATATATATAAGTTCATTTGTCTTTTTGTTTTTTTAGATTCCACATATGGTTTGGTGCAGCTATTGTGGAAAACAGTATGGAGATTCCTCAAAAGACTAGGAATAGACTTACCATATGACCCAGGAATCCCACTCCTGGGCACATATCCAGCAGGAACCCTACTTCAAAAAGACACCTGCACCCCAATGTTCATAGCAGCACTATTTACAATAGCCAAAACATGGAAACAACCTAAATGTCCATCAACAGATGACTGGATAAAGAAAATGTGGTATATTTATACAATGGAATACTACTCAGCCACAAAAAGGAATAAAATAATGCCATTCGCAGCAACATAGTTGGACCTGGAGATTATCACTAAGTGAAGTAAGTCAGACAGAGAAAGAAAAATACCACTTGATAGCACATGGTTTAAAAAATCTCACTGCCCTGGAGATCAGAAGTCCTAAAACCCAGGTGTGGGCAGCCTGCCTTCCTTCCACAGGCCCTCAAGGAGAACCTCAGTCTTCCTGCTTCCAGAGGCCTCTGCTCTGCCCATGGCCCCCTTCTCCATCCTCATAGCCAGCAGGGGGCCTTCCAGCCCCTCTCTGACCCTCCACCTCCTTCTCAGAAGGGCCCTGGTGATGACGTCCGGCCCCCTTCCCTGCAATGACAGAGGGTGGTCTCCCACCTCGGGACCGTTAACTTAGTCCCGCCTGCAAAGCCCCCTTTCCCTTCGCAGCAGCCCATTCTCAGGTTCCGGGCGAGGGGCTGGGGTGGTGAGGACGGGGGCTTTTCTGCCTGTTGTAATAGCGCAAGGTTTCCTCTTTCCAGGATTCTCCGGGAATTCCCCGGTTTCTTTCGGCTGAGGCATGTGGACCCCCCGGTGTCCCTCCCACCCAGGTTCTGTCTCTACCCAGAACAGCCCCAGCCCAGCCCCGTCTGGTCACCCGGCTGGAGTGCAGGGAGAGCCAGACCGAGACGCCCTCCCTCAAGCCTGCCCCTGCCTTCTGCCCCTGTCGATTCACTTCTCCACAGGCGGCGAGCTGTCTTCCACCTCGCAGTGCCTTCACCTGCTACGAGGACTCCAGCATTCTGCCCCGGATTTCCAAATCTGCCTCAACAATGGCATTTCGCGTTCAGTAACATCTGCATAGCGTCTGGCCTATAACTCTCGGGGGGCATAGATCCCCAGTCACGCCCACTGGTGTGGGCCTGCATTAAGGCCCCTTCTCCACACTCAGCACGAAGCACGTTCACGCCTCCGCAGATGCGCCCACGTGTCGCCTCACTCCAGTCCTGCTCTGAGGTCTGACCCCGCGGTTCTGCCTGGTTGCTGCAAATTCCTCACAAAGTCCCACTGTGAACAGGAGCGCCTCCGACTCAGGGCCAGCTTGCGGGCCTCACGCCCCCCTCGCTGCCCTGCAGGCCCCGGGTTGTGTCTAGGGAGCCCCAAGATCAGCCCGAGGTCCACCCAGGCCCCAGTCACTTCTTCCCTTCTGCCTCCCGCCCTGGACGCTTCGTGGTGACAGGGACCCGGGTTCGCTCACGTTTATCTTATAAACACTCGGTTGTCCCCAGCGCCGGGCCTTCCACAACCCACGTACAGGCGGTTTAGACGCTGAGACCGAAAGCAGAATTGTCAGCTGCCAGGAAGGCTTCCTGCTCGGCCCTGGCCGGGTGCCGAGCCTCGCATCTGCACAGACTTGCCTCAGGTGCCTGGAGCCGCACCTCAGACGTGCCCTGCTGGAAGGTGTCCCCTGACGGCTGGACTCTCCTCTCTGGGGGACCGGCATGCAAGGAGGTGGCACTGGCTGGTCCCCCTGGCGGCTGCCCTGCTGATGGGTTCCTGTGGTCCGAGTGCATGTCCTCAAGCCCGTAGACACTGCCCCTCCAGCCAGCAGAACAGCGCACGCCTGGGGCTCAGCACGGGGAAGCAGTCGGGTGGCTGCCCCTGAGCTGGGGACATCCCTGCCTGGTGGTGAGAGGAGGGTGTCACAGTATCAGGGATCTTTCTGGAAGCCACAGTCCCCGCCCTGGAGGCGGCCTCAGGACTTTGGCTGGGCTTCCTTTGGTGGGTCGGGGGCCAGCCTGGGATGGCCAGGCCGGGGGAGGCTGGGTGTCAGCTGGGGGATCCCTGCCCAGGTGCCCTCACACCTGCCTCCGCTCAGACCCGGCTCCCCTCTGGTGAGGCTGCTCCCCAGCTTCACTTTGTGAGAATTCACTCACCTCCCGGACTCTCCTGCAGGGTCCTCTGCTCTGGAACCTCCTTCTGAGCGCCGCCCCCCACCCCGGGCTGCACCTTCGGGTGTCTCCTGCAAAGACCGGCCTCCCCGCCGCTGCCCCTCTGCCTCTGGCACTGACTTCAAGGCCCTTCGGGCAGATGGTCTGGGTTCACATCCCGGTCACGGTGGGCGGGTCACCTCCGTTTGACATGCCTGGGTCTCCGCACCTGGAAAGCGGGTGTGAAATGCTTCCGCTGTCCTGATGGTTAAGAGGTAACTCAGGAGAGGGCCTAGGGCGGGCTCATGGTGTCAGCTGTTACCATGTCGTCCTTCCTGCCACCCGACCCTGCCGCAGGGCTCGTGCAACGAGTGGCTGGTGGCGTGCGCACGCGCGTGAGCACACGCACACGCTGTGCACGCACCACACACAAACATCACCCACACACACACCACGTACACAAGCACACACACACCACACACTCACACTGCACACTTATCATACATGCACATGTGCACACTACACACACATCACACACACATGCACACAGTCACACACACACAAACACGACACACTCATGGACACACAGCGCCTCTCAAATACACACAGCCAGAATTCCGAGGAAAGGAGGACAGACAAATCCACAATCCAATCCCCATGAGGGGTTTTAACATGTCACCCAGGAACAGACGGAGAAGCAGACAGAACCCCAAACCCAAACCAAACTCAGAAAAACAAAACAAAGTAGGGAGGGTCCCTGTGGGGAAGTTTTGATCACACGGGCCACCTGGGATATGTCCATCCCTAACTTTGCACCTGAAAAGTGCAGAAGACACAGTCTTTTCAAGAACGTGGACCACTGGCCATATTCTGGGGAATAAAACAGGTCTCGGCCAATTTCACAGGAGAGACGGAATAGAGAGGCTGTTCTCTGAACGGAGCGGCCTTGGGCCGGAGGTCGGGAGGAGGAAAGGCCATCAGGAAATGGGCGGCCGTGCGAGAGAACACGGCACCGCCAGCGGGGCCCCAGGCGGAGGGCACGTCAGGGAACCAGGCGCGTTTGGAGCGCAGAAAGCCAGGGTCAGGCATGGCCGGCGGGGAGCGCGGAGCCAGGTGGGCTTCTGGAGGAGGTCAGGGCGGCGGTGAGCACAGCTCCCCGCAGACACCCCCACTGTTGGCTGCACGCCCCATGCTCCCAGCCCGGCCGGCCGCGTGGGCTCCAGCCAAGGTCACAGCAGGCTTGGCCGCTGCCGTGCTGCCCGGGAAGGGACTCCCGTGACCCCGGCGGTCCCAGCTGCACGGCTCTGAAGGCGGCAGGGTGGACGCAGGGCCCAGCAGGAGGGACCCGCCCAGGCTGAAGCCCTGGAAACGTGGAGCATGGAGCCTGCAGCACTCGTGTCCAGCATCCAGGGTTCCTGTGACCAGGGGTGGACAACGTGACCCCCTGCGCTGCCTCCTGTTCGGTGCCAGCAGGAGGGACAGGCAGTGGGGTGCTGAGGAGCTGGCCTGCGGGGGTTGCCCATCGCCCGTCCTCCCCGCTGACGCCGGACAGCATGTTCCCGAAGGCGTCTCTGCTGCTGGGGCTCACTGTCCCCGGCAGCCAGCTCTGGACCTTTCGAAAGGCCTTTGCGGACATTAGTAAGAACCACGGTTATTTCACGGTGTCCGTGGAGTTGGCCGTCACTTGCTTCAGCAGTGGCAGCGAGGACGCTCAGGCCCACAGGCTGCTGGAGGTCGGGCGAGCCCAGCAGGAGGTGAGTGGCCGTCGGGAGCCCAGGCCCAACCCTGGTCCCGGTGACCAGCCCTGAGCCGGCCCACGTCATTGGGGCTCTGAGGGGATGGCGCAGCTCTGAAGGCACCCGGGGGACCAGGATCCCAGCCCCCCTCCCCGGAAGGAGGGGCCTGGGACCTCCGCGTGTCGGCCGATGTGACTGAGGGGCGGGTCTGCTGTCAGGTGTGCCGTGCGCGTGCGTGTGCGCTCAGCGCCGCGCGCCCTGCTTCCCGTGCCTGTCCCCCGCCACGTACGTCAGGCACTGGTGGTGGGGGTCCTGAGCCGGCCATCAGTGGGGGTGGGGGGAGGCCAGGCTGCCGGAGGTACCCTCGGGGTCATCCCCTTTTTGGTTTTGTGCTTGTAGGGAAGTTGCACACGGCTTGTGTGACCTGTTTACACACCTCGTCTGGTCTTCTGTCCACTTTTCTACTTGGTTCTCTGCCTTTTTTCATTCATGGAAAGCAAACGTAGCAGCTGCTTCATGATTCCTCGACAGAGTTGGACAGTGATATTTTTAATGGACCTGGAGCTGGGCCGGACAATTTGCAGAAAACGTGCTGAAGACCTCGGCCACTGTCCCCTGCAAGAAGGCCCGGGAGAGAAGAAGGTTTGAGAATAAATCAGCACAAAGCTCCCTGAATCTTCTGACAGTGAAGCATAACACGCGGGAGAGTGTGTGAGAGAACCTGCCGCCCCCGCGTGCGTCCTGTTCTCCCCACACAGGACGCCTTGCTCCTGGCCCTTCTGGTCACCACGTATGGGGGTTTTTTCACACGAAACAATTCTCTGGGACACCAGGTGTCTATCCGGAGGTGATGTCAGATCTCACGGGTTAGGGCTCAGCCCCCGACACCACTCCCTGCTTGCAGGTGCCAGATGCGAGCAGCATGCCCCCAGGGGCCCACAGCTTCCGGCCAATTTGCTACACCTCGGAGATTGCCACCCCGCTCTTCAGGTGTGATGAGTTTGCTAGTCCGGCTCACAGCTCAGGGAAGGATGCTCAGGGTGTGACCCGGACACAGAGGCGCAGCCAGGTGCAGAGATGCCCGGGGTGAGGTCTGGGGGTCCCGAGCACAGGGGCTCCTGGCCCATGGAGCTGGGGGGGCGGCGTCGCCCAGTGTGGATGTGTCCATCAGCCTGGAATCTCTCCAAACCCTTTGCTTTGGGAATTTTCGGAGACTTCATCACATGGGCATGATCAATCATCAACTCTGTCTCCAGCCGCAGCCCTTCTCCGGAGGATGAGGGGTGGGGCTGAGAATCCCAAGCTTCTAAAGATGTCTTGGTCTTTCTGGTGAGCAGCCCCCACCCAGGAGCCCACCAGGGTCACCTCAGTAGGACAGGAGGTGCTCCTGGTGGGTTCACCAGTTAGGAGTTCACGAGAGGCTAGGGGGCTCTGTGCCAGGAACCTGGGCAGAGACCAACTTAAGCATTCTCTATGCGAGGGGGCTTAGGAAAGTCACAGGGGTGACCCTGGGGCAGAATGCTGGGGAGGACCGGAGGACCAGAGGACCGGAGTACGGCTAGGTTCGCTGGTCACCCCACCTCTCCCCCTGGTCCCTGGGCTGCGAGGACAAGCCCGGCTCAGCCAGTCCTCCTGCCATCATCCTGCGAGCTGACGTCTGGTCCACTGGACTGGGACCATGGGCGTGGGCCTCAGTCAGGGGGACCCCCTCCTTGGGACTGGTGTCCCCAGATCCCAGCCTGGGGGCAGCCTCCCCTTGGGGTGGGTCTGCAGCCACTCCCAGGTGGGTGGGCGCCATCTGGACCCTCTCCTGGGCAGTCTGCCGGCTCCCAGAGCCCACAGGCAGGGGCCCTTCATACAGCATCATGGTGGGCGGGGGGCCTGGGGGACAGGCAATGGCCCCACCGGGCAGTCTCTGGGGAGCCCCCATCCTGGATCCTGGACGGGTGGATTCAGCACCCCCGCCCGTCACCCAGGCGGACCTGCGCTCCCGAGCCCGGCCCCAGGCCTTTCCTCCCTCTTTAGCTTTTAACCCATCCGGGCACCTGCGAAGTCCTCCACGCCACGTGCTCTCACTGCTACGTTGGTCTGATTATGTCTTACGGTGCCTTTTTCCAGGTGAGCTGCACTTTCGTGGTGGACTCGCAACCCTGGATCACCCAGTTCACCCTCGTGAACAGCACCTGCCAGCAGAACCAGGGGGAAGGGCCCCCGGCTCCCGCAGCAGACCCTCTTCCTCTGGATGACGTTCCGGGGTCCTAGGTCTGTGTGGCACCAAGGGAAGTAAAGGCACCTCAGAGCTCTCTGGCCCCTGTCAGTTCTGTGTGCTCCCCAATGGTCCGTTTCCATGGATGTCACTGCCGGTGACGAGTGATGGAGAAGTTGTCACTGTTGTTCCCACCTGGGCTGTGGGGCAGGACAGTCAGGCATGGCCACCCCCCGAAGCAGGTCCCTGCGCCCTCCTTGTGCCTGCCCTGGCAAGAGTGCACCGTGTCCCTCAGAGGCGTGGCCATGAGGCTGGTGACAAGGGTGTCCCCCAGTGTCCACACTCCCTCTCTTCCGTGCCAGCCCCAGTCCTGTCCTAGAACGGGTCCCCATGACTGTGGTCCAGGCCTCCCCTTCCTGGGATCATCTCACTGGCAGGTGATCCTTGTCCCCACACCCCAGGGGGAGCATTGTTCACGGGCAGCACACCCTACATTGCCGGCCTCCCGGCTCCCAGGCCATGTACGCGTCCCAGGCTGGGCACTTCAGCATCATGGGTCCTGTGAGGAGAGCGTGACGAAGCCACATGGCAGTGGCCTCAGGACCCTAGAGGGCAGAGCTGCATGAACGCACGTCAGCCGGGCTGGCGGGCCCGACTTCCCCAGCCCCGACCGCTCTCCTGCCTGTGGCTGGGGCTCACGTCCAGTCCTGCAGAGCCCCTGCCTTGGGGTGACTTCCCCCTTGTGCCCCCCTCCCAGCTGCCAAGCACGGCCAGGCCTCCTGGGCAGACGGTCAGCCGGGCCAGGGGTGGTGGGAAGGGTGGGCCCCCAGCCCATGGCCCCCCTCACTGCACCCTCCTGGTGCTCCCTGTGGTCACAGGCCACAGCCAAGTCAGAGGGAGACCAGGGCTCCCCTTTGCTCCCCAGGATTCGGGGCCCACCAGTACGAAGTGTCCCCGTGGTTCCACTGGTCCCAGGATGCACTGCCGAGGGGGCAGCGCAAGGAGACCCTCACCCAGGCCCCGCTGGGGACAGAGCCACCGCACACATGTCCCCAGGCCCAGGCTTCCCAGACAAGCGGTGGGAGTCGTGCCTCTCGCTCTGCCTTCAGTCTGGTGGTGACAGCAGGGCGGGCGGGGACGCAGAGGAGGGGCCGGGCTGCAGTGCAGGGGTGGGGAGCTGGGCAGGGCGAGCCGCCACCGCCACCCCCGCTGGGCTCTGCGGGGCTCCAGGCTGACGCCAGACAGACAGCATGTTCCCGAGGGAGCCTGTGCTGCTGGGGCTCCTGGTGCTGGGGCTGCACGTCAGCAGCTGGGACTTCGAGGATGTTAGTAAGAGCACAAATTTCTTCGGCATGTGTGTGGAATTCGCTGTTTTTCACTTCAACGAGCACCATCCCGATGAGTACGCTTACAAGCTGATGTGGGTGGGGAGGAGCCAGCGCAAGGTGAGGGGCGCAGGGGAGCGGGTGGGGGTGCGGGGTTAGGGGTGTGTGGGTGAGGGGTGGGGGGCTCCCCTGTGGCTCCACCATCCCCCTGAAACCAAGCCTGGAGGGCGCGCCCGTGGTCTGCAGGGAAGAGCAAAGTGAACGAAGTCTAAAAATATGAGGTAGCGTTAGAAGGGAGAGATCCCACAGAGCTCGGGCCGGCGCCTCTCTGGACGTTGTGGGTGCGGGGGCGGCAGCTGGGGCCAGCGGAGAGCAGGGTGTGGGAGCTGGTCCCTGGTCCCTGGTCCCTGGGAGGTAGAAGAAAAGCTGGCTTCTAAGTCTGCTTGGAGGTGATGTGGGGGCACTGATGGGGGTGGGGGCAGGCACGGACCACAGGTTTTGCCCTGAGCACGTGGGTGAACAGTACTCACCAACTTGCAAGACCATGGAGTAGGGCAGGGACCAGAAGATGCCTGGGAACCCATCACCTTCGGAATTCCTGAAGCAGCCTAGGAAGGCCTGGAAGGCTGTGGGTCACAGAGCATCACTGAGGGTCAGGGTGGAGCCGGATGACAGTGGGCGTCCTTAGACCTGGTTGTGCAGGGGTTCCTCCCACCCCGCTCCCCCTCGCCCTTCCACTGGAGTAACTGTGGTCCAGCCGTCGGGAGCCCGGGCCCTACCCTGGTACCGGTGACCAGCCCTGAGCCAGTCCACGTCAGTGAGGCTCTGAGGAGAGGGTCCCCTCTGCACACACTCCCGAAGGGACTGGAGGGAGGCCCCCACCCTGCGCAGATGGCCCAGCTTCCCTCGTGTGGCCCCATCTCCTGACCGGCTGCCTCTTCCCTGGGCTGCGTCCCAGCCCGGAACCAGGGAAGCCCAGGCTGCCTCCCCCGCCCAACCCGCCCTCACCCAGGACGTGTGGGCGTGAGGGGTGGGCGTGCGCACGTGTGGCCGGGGGCCTCCGCTGCAGGGATCCCTGGGCCCCGAACGAAGCCAGCTTTCTGCAGGGAGGGCTGCTCCTGCCTGCGGAGCTTTCTGGCTGCCTTCCTCTCGGTGTTTGGGTTCTTCCCGAGTGTTCCCCACCTCTAGTAGGGGATGAAATCATAATGCGCAGTGAGCTGTTGGAGGAGCAGCGCCTGGCCCCCGAGCACCCGCCCACCCGGACCCGGATGAGGGTTGGCTAGTGAGTCCCTGGTGCCGCAGCTCCCCCCACCCCCACCGTGGGAGAGAGGGCCCCCGGCCCCCAGGCCCGTCCCGATCTGGGTGCAGCCCCCCGAGGGATGGCGCGGCTCTGACGGCGGCCCCGGGGACCAGGATCCCCGCCCCCCTCTCTGAAAGGAGGGGCCTGGGGCCTCCGCGTGTCGGCCGATGTGACTGAGGGGCGGGTCTGCTGTCAGGTGTGCCGTGCGCGTGCGTGTGTGCTCAGCGCCGCGCGCCCTGCTTCCCGTGCCTGTCCCCCGCCACGTACGTCTGGCACTGATGAAGGGGGTCCCGGAGCTGGCCGTCAGGGGGAGTGCAGCGGAGAGGAGGCCAGGCTGCTGGAGGTGCCCTCAGGGACATCTCTTTGTAAGAAAAGTAGAGAATTAAAATGAAAAAGTGAAATAATAAAGAAAATAAGAAACAGGAACAATAAGCGAAGTGCACCAGCTGTGCCTCACTCACCTGCCTGCGCACGTTCGAGCCTACCGCCCATTTCCTGTTTGCTTCTCTGTGTCTTTCTCATTATCGCAAAGAATTTCACAGGCGCTTCTACAATCTCTTCTTTACAGAAGCTTAGCTGGACGTATTTAATGGACCTGAAGCTGGGCCGCACGATTTGTAGGAAGCATGACGAAGACATTGACAACTGTCCCCTGCAGGAAGGCCCAGGAGAGAAGACGGTGTGAGAATAAATCAGCCCAAAGCTTCAACGAGGCTTCTGACAGCAAAGCTGCATCAAGGACAGCCTATGGGGGGCTCGGGAAGGTCGCAGGGATGACCCTCCCCGCCGGGCCCCCGGGCTCCTGCGGATGGGAGAGGCGGTCACTCTGCACAGTCACCGCTGTGCCCAGCACAGCCTGGCTGGCTCCCCAGAGACCCCCAGGACCCCCCCCCCTCGGGGGAGCTCCCCCCTGTCCCAGCTTCCTGCTCCCTGAGGCCTCAGGTCCTGGAGATGCTGCTCTTGCTGTGCGCCCCTCTCTCCTTTGCTCCGATTCTTCTGGACAGGAGGACTGTTCAGCTCTCTGGTCACCCCACCTCTCCCCCTGGTCCCTGGGCTGCAAGGACAAGCCCGGCTCAGCCAGTCCTCCTGCCATCATCCTGCGAGCTGACGTCTGGTCCACTGGACTGGGACCATGGGCGTGGGCCTCAGTCAGGGGGACCCCCTCCTTGGGGCTGGTGTCCCCAGATCCCAGCCTGGGGGGCAGCCTCCCCTTGGGGTGGGTCTGCAGCCACTCCCAGGTGGGTGGGCGCCATCTGGACCCTCTCCTGGGCAGTCTGCCGGCTCCCAGAGCCCACAGGCAGGGGCCCTTCATACAGCATCATGGTGGGCGGGGGGCCTGGGGGACAGGCAATGGCCCCACCGGGCAGTCTCTGGGGAGCCCCCATCCTGGATCCTGGACGGGTGGATTCAGCACCCCCGCCCGTCACCCAGGCGGACCTGCGCTCCCGAGCCCGGCCCCAGGCCTTTCCTCCCTCTTTAGCTTTTAACCCATCCGGGCACCTGCGAAGTCCTCCACGCCACGTGCTCTCACTGCTACGTTGGTCTGATTATGTCTTACGGTGCCTTTTTCCAGGTGAGCTGCACTTTCGTGGTGGACTCGCAACCCTGGATCACCCAGTTCACCCTCGTGAACAGCACCTGCCAGCAGAACCAGGGGGAAGGGCCCCCGGCTCCCGCAGCAGACCCTCTTCCTCTGGATGACGTTCCGGGGTCCTAGGTCTGTGTGGCACCAAGGGAAGTAAAGGCACCTCAGAGCTCTCTGGCCCCTGTCAGTTCTGTGTGCTCCCCAATGGTCCGTTTCCATGGATGTCACTGCTGGTGACGAGTGATGGAGAAGTTGTCACTGTTGTTCCCACCTGGGCTGCAGGTGCAGCAAGCTGAACCAATCAAACCCTCAACTCCTGTGGGGGTGCCCTTCCTGGTTCTTGCAGGGGTCCCATAGTTGGTGTGCACACTGATTCATTCATTCATTCATTCTCCATTTGTTCATCATCCATCCATCCATCCATCCACCCATCCATCCATCCACCCACACATCCATTTATCCAACCATCCCTCCACCAAACCATCCCTACACTCATCCATCCATATATCCACACATCCATCCATCCATCCATCCAGCCATCCATCCATCCATCCATCCATTTATCCATCCATCCTTCCACCCATCCATCCATCCATCCCTCCGCCCATCCATCCATCCACCCACCCACCCATCCATATCCATCCATCC